TAAATGATACTGGGAAAACTAGATATTCACATGCAGAAGAAACCAGACTTTTATCTGTCACCACAGGAAAAAATATTAACTAAAATGAACCAAAGACTTAAATATAAGATCAAACCCATGAATCTACTCAAAGAAAATATAGGGCACATACTTCCAGACATTGGTCTGGGAACAGATATTTTCAATATGACCCCAATAGCAGAGGATGCAGATGCAAAAAATTGACAAATGGAATTACACCAAAATAAAAGATTCCTGTATATCAAAAGAAACAATCACAGAATGAGGAGTAGGGCAGAATGTATTTAAAAAGTTTTGCCCTGATAAAGAATTAGTTTCCAGAACATATAAAGAAATTCAAACATCTCAAAAGAAATAATAGTAACACTAATAACAATAATAAGCCAATGGACTACAAAGATATTTCTGAAAATAGGCTACACATATGACCAACAAACATGAAATGTTTAGCATCAGTTAACATTTAAAAAAGTGCAAATCAAAAGCACATTGAAACTGGGCATGGTGGTGCACACCTGTAATCCCAGCAACTATGGAGGCTGAGGAGGCAGGAGGATTGAGAGTTCAAGCCAGCCTCAGCAAAAGCAAAACCCTAAGCAACTCAGTGAGACCTTGTGTCTAAATAAAATACAAAATAGGGCTAGGGATATGGCTCAGTGGTCAAGTGCCTCTGAGCTCAATCCCCAGTACTTCCCCCCCACCCGCCGCCCGCAAAACAATCAAAAAAACACATTGAGGTAGATATGAACTTATCCCAGTCACAATATTACAGAAAAGACAAAACATAACAAATGATGATCTAGATATGAAGAAAAGGGAATTCTTATATACTGTTAGTACAAATGTAAATTAGTACGATCATTATGGAAAATCATATGGGATTTCATCAAATCACTAGAAACAGAAATACCATATGATCCAGCAATCCCATATTGAGTATATACCCAAAGGAATTGAAGTATGAAGGGACATCTGCAGTTGCATATTTATTGCAGCACAAAAAAAGCCAAAGATGAAATCTGTAGGGAGCTACCATGAATTACTTGAGGGTCTTCGTTTAGTATAGAGCCATGGAGACTTAGGTTTTTCCCTTAGGAACTATCCCTGTTCTCCCATGTGCATTAGATTGCCCAAGACACATAGCACCTATCTCCACTCTTGTTGCTCTGGAGTTGGGTGCAATTCATTGCCATGGAAAACCTTTGATGTTACCCGATATAAATAAAGCAAGGGTGGACTCCATTTTGCCTCTTTTTATATGGAAGCTCCATCCCTAAGATCAGCTAGCTCCACCCCTACTTTTTAAAATTACTTTTTGTCCCCTAAGGTTTTTCTGCTGCTTTCTCTTAGCTTTTATTCCTCAGCCAGCCCAGTATACCAAGAGGAACTCCATTTCTAACACCCTCGCAGGACGTGGGCGGGACATATCAACCTATGTGTCCATCAATGTTATATAACATTTACAGCAATATGAAAGCTATACGGATATCACTACTATACAATAGTAGACATAAATTTAAATTTATATTACAAACAGTTGTTCTAAAGGGAATATTCAGAGCATCATGTTAGCTGCTATTAGGTACATTTAAACTCTAAAAATTTAATTCATCTTAGTATAACTTCTATTTCTCCTACTTTTTTTGCAGAAACTTGTAAATAAGATGAAAAAATGAGAATTATAAACTTAATAATACAATATTTTCTGCTTTCAGAAAATATTCTATTATTGATTTCATTTAGTATTTTTGAAGCATCAATGTTGAAGTCTAAGAGACTAAAGACTGTAACACAGTAATTTTCTTTATCATTTTCTCCCCCCACAGTGTTGTGGATTGAACCCAGGGGGTTCCCTACCACTGCTATATCCCCAGCCCTTTCTTTAAATTTTATTTTGAGAAGAGTCTTGCTAAATTACCAGGGCTGAGTTGAACTTGTGATCCTCCTGCCTTAGCCTCCAAAATATTTGGCATTACAGGTATGTGTCCGCCACTGTGTCTCCCTACTTCTTTATGTGCCAAGTCTTCTTTATGTGCCAAGACTCTAACACTCTAAATAGTGCTAAACTGAAAGAAAGGAAAGATAATTTTAAAGATACAGAATGAATTGTTGGCTACATATAAATTTCTATTGCCATATTATCACAAATTTATGAACTGGTGTTATAGTTTAGTGGTAGAGTACTTGACTAGTGTATATGAGGGTCCGGGTTCAGTCCCTAGTATCAGGAAAAACAGCAACAGCAACAGCAACAACAACAACAAAACCCTCAATATTACAATTTACTTGTTTTAAACAATATAAATGTATTATCTTAAAAGTTTTATAGGTCAGATATTTGCAACTGGTCTCAAATGGCTAAAATAAAGATGTTGGACTAGACTACATTTATTTCTGTAGGGTTTAGGGAAGAATCTAATTATGGGTCACTGAAGTTATAGAAGCCACCACATTCTTTTGCTCATGAACTCCTTTTGCCATCTTCAATGACAGCAACAGTGGGTTGAGTCGTTTGCACATCACATACCTTGGACTTTTCCTTTTTCCTCTTTCTTGTAAGGACCCATAATTAATATAATATAAATAATCTGAGATAATCTCATTCAATGGATTATAGAAATCTTTGCAACAGTAATTCTAATTTTTATTTTGTCATGTAAAATAGCATATCTACAGACTCTAGGGATTAGAATGTTTTTCTACTAAGAGCTCTTATTTTGACTCCTGAATATTTCTAAAATTGTTTAAAAAATAAAACTATCCATTGGGTACTTCTATAATTTTTAGGTATCAGTATAACAGACAATATGATGTATTATGCTTTAACTAAAAGATTTGATACAGTAAAAGAATCCAACAAAAAGTAAAATATTTGCATCAATAGTAAAACTACCAATATTTAAAATAACAATAATTACACTATTGTCGATGTTTAGAAATAATTTGTATCATATATATATTTATCTTATAAAATATAGACATGTTTTATAGTATAAATGTATAAAATATAACAGCTACATTTATAATTGAGGGGAAAAAATCATTGTATACAGTTCAATCTGTATAAAGAGAATTAACACTTTGAACAATAACCATTTTCTCTGCCAAACTCAGCTTTTTAAACAACAGTGTAGTCTTAAAATTATAAAGAAGACTTGGATCTGCTACTGGTTTGTTTGTTTGTTTGTTTTTGGTAATAAGGGAAAAGTCTTTTGAGAAAGTTCTTCCCTCTAATATAAATCTGGAAATAAAGACAGATACACATACCACACAGAAGCTAATATACTCTAAATAGGCTTTACCATACCTGTTTATGGCATAATATGAACAGAATATAGAAATTAGAGTTGTAAGTTTATTCTAAAAAATAAGATATCATAAGTAACTGAAAAAAGTCACTCCATAGGAAAAAATAATCATCATCTTACATGTTTAGTGTAGACTCACAGAATTCTACATTGTTTTGTTCATGAAAGAAACTTGCATTTTTCTATATACTTATCAACTCATTAGTGAGTTCATGCCTTCATGTAGAGAACAACCATTTTTTTTCTTGTGTTCCTTCTACTAAGAGCACTAATGAGATAGAACTGAAACTGAAAAGTTTACAAAGGTTATAAAATAAAACTGAAGAATTTTCAGACACCAAATTATTTTTTAAATAAAACTGACTACTTAGAAAATAGAACTATCTAAATAAATAAGTATAACTGTAATACAAGGAGGAAAGGGAAGAGAAAGCTGATGGAGATTTCTAAGAACAGCAAGATCAACCAATGACTTAACATCAGTTAAGTTCAAGGTGCATATTTTGAACATTAGTGCATACAAAATAAATAAAATGAATAAATATATTGTACTAGGCCAGAGAATATACAATATACATAAAAATGTAAGAGAAGAAAAAGAAAGGAACAAAGATGATTAGAACAAATGAAAAATAAATAACAAAATAGAATATTTAAAAGCCATTTCATTGTATGATATATAAACAAAATAAACACAAAAAAAATTAAAAAGACTATGAAAGTAGTTTAAATAAATAGAAACACAAAGTCAAATAATATGCTACGTGTGAAACAACACATATGTCTTTTAACAGGTGAGTATAGAAGAAAAATTTCTATAATTATATAATTAAATATTATTCAGCAATAAAAAGACTAAACTGTAGATATATGCTATGTTAACATAGGTGCATTTGAAAATATTGTGGTAAGTGAAATAAGACACACAAATGATGGATGGTTCTATTTTCACAAAGTAATAGAACATTCAGAACTACTTGACAGTGATACAAATCAGATGCACAGGGTCTGGGGATCATGGTGGGTAAATAAGGCAATCACGATGAAACTTTCTGGAATACAGAAGTACCTTACCACTTGACTGATGATATTTATACAGGTGCATGCATACCTTTAAGAAACATAATTAAGCATTGTATTTTATGTAAAGCACAAATAATACAATTGAGAAAGAGAACTAAATTATTTTTCATATTATGTATTAAATTATAACTAAATTTAATACATGATATATATTAAATTATTATTTAATATTTTATTTTTACTAAGAAATCAATAAAAACAATATATACAGAAATACCCCAAAATTTAGAAATTAAACAACATACATTAAAGGCAGTGTTAAAAGGTGGTTACTGTTCTGGGTTCGTGGCTAGTGTTAGAGGGCTTGCTTCGCATTTTTGGGGCACTGGGTTTGATCCTCATCACCACATAAATAAATAAAATAATTATAAAATAAAGGTACTATGTTCATTTATAACTAAAACTTTTTAAAAAATTTTAAAAGTAAAAAGGTGGCTACCTGGATTTTTAATAATACATAGATAGTTTAATTTGTAGGTATGAGTTTAACAATATAATTAATAACACTGGGGAGACCAACTCAGTAATTTAATCTTCCACCAAAATTTGCTTATATACATAAACACATAAGTAAAATAAATTAATTACCAATGGAAGCTGAACGCATCTGTCTCATGTGAGTTTCTATGACAGTAGGATCCCGAGAGCTGTAACTTCCCAACTCAGGATAAAAGCTGGAGCCAATGTCATCTGGAGGACTGTGTCTCCCCTGTGGATAATTCTTGGCTATTCTAGGGTCCCAATGCTCCAAGACTGGATGATTCCAATGTATATATTTACCATCAAATTGTGGGTTTCCATACCAACTGTAATAAAATACATGCAAAAAATAATTCAGAGGTGGCAGTTCTTCCAGGTTAAGTTCAGAAGTTTTGGAAGGTTTCATAGTGATTTCAACACTTTTTAAATTCTTGGTATTTGTTTCACTGTTGATTCTGTCACTCTTTTGAAAATCAGTTTTTTTCCCCAAATGAATAGTTTGTTGATGAAGTTCTGGAAGAAGGTCAAGTCCAAAAGGAGCTCCAAAAGTAGCTGAATTTGGTCTCAGCAATTTTAAACCCATCATCAGAGAGAAAATAAATAGAATAAAAAGTGACAAAATGATGCAAGTCCTTCTCCGAAATTTTGCCATGATGACATACTTTAAAGTCCAAGATAGCAAATGCTTTGCTGTAATTTATTGAAAAAAGAAAATTAGTAAGAGGTATCAATAACATTTTCTAATGTATTCAAAATGAAAACTAAATCCATAGTGATTAGAATAAAATTAAGAAAATGCAATATTATGTTATCAAGTATTAGTAAGTAATCAATATATACATAAACTAAGTGGCAGTACTGATCTGGAAATATCACCATTAGCATGCAAATTATATTCTGTTAAATAAACCTTTCAGGAATTTAATTTAAGAAAATAAATTTTTCATCATTTTAACAGATTTTATGAATATTGAGTAAAGAAAGGGACTTTTCTGTGTATTGGAACTAAGGTTTTCTAATTTTAAACATAGAATTTAAAAAACATAATAAAAGGAAATATGTATGCTGTACATTAAAGTTGAACCATAAACTGGATTTAAAATAAATCATTTTTAACTGAAATTACAATATTACAAGGAGGAAATAATTACACACTTAAAATGATGTTTGGAAATGAAATAGAATCAAACATTTTTTTCAAATGACAGTAAAGAAAAAATCAAAAGTTGATATAAGAAATTTGAGCATTCATGAATTTTGGTAACCAAGGGAAAACACAGAACTAATTCCATGTAGATATTGAGAGACAACTGTATTTACATGTAATATAATATATAAGTATATACAAATGTAAAAATTATCATTGGGTAATATGCAAGATATGTAGAAATGGTTGAATGTGCATTTTTTCTATAAGAGTATAGTAATTCAAAAATAAAAAGATGAAGAGTATACCACCAGCAAATTAGAGAGCTCAAGCTATTAACATAGTATCTGTTCATTTCTGCTATTAACATAGTATCTGTTCATTTCTGCTATTAACATACTATCTGTTCATTTCTGAGAAGGGACAATTCCTACAGTCCTTCAAGTTCTGCACTCCATAATTCCAGGAACTGAAAACTCCATGTGTGGAACATGGGGAGCCTGTTCACTGACTAGGAACAATGGAACAAGATAATCATTTTGGTCTGCCTCTGAAACTTGTCCTGACATTTCCAAGTTATTGAGATAACAATAAATCCTTTTTGTGCTTAAAAAGTGAGCATTCTGACAAGACATGAGTCAGAAAAACATTTTTGTTGAAAGATTTCAACTATATTAACCATATACATAGAGGCAGGGGATATACTTAAAACGTGATAGTTACCTCTAGGTGAGAAAACAGTAATATTTTCATATGTCGACTACAATTATAATAGTTTTATTATATAAAGAATTATGTGATAGACATCATTATCCAAAGTACATGTATGAAGACACAAATTGGTGTCAACATACTTTATATACAATCAGAGATATGAAAAATTGTGCTGTATATGTATAATAAGAATTGTAATGCATTCCGCTGTCATTTATTTTTTTAAATCAATTTAAAAAAAGAAAATAGAAACAGGAAAAAAGAAAAAAATAATTGATGGCAGTGAATATTGAGAAGGCACAGAGAATGAAAGAAATAACCAAATTACTATTGAAATTTATTTTTGGAATGTTGACTTCAGCTGAATGGAAAGTCACAAATAATACTGAAACTTTTTTACATTTTTCAGGTTCATCTCCTAGATTCACCCATGAAACAGAGTATAAAATTTGAACTATGGAGGCTGTCTTCTTTTTTCTTTCTCTTGACTATAAATATAATTTCTGAAGCTGGTCCCTTTCTCTTTATGCATAACTTAATTCATTCACTTAAAATGTTTAAAATCCATATCATTACAGATAATGTACCAGATCAATCTTTAGAGATGACCTACTGGCTGTAACCCAACCTCCATATTTCAATTGAGAATAAGTCATCTCAACCTAAATAAAAGCACCAGATATTGTGATTAAAGTTTCAGCTCTGCAGTTGCAATGTATGACTTCAAATTCCAATTGTGCAATCTATTTGGTTTGATCTATACAAATAACCTGATCTTTCTGTACTTCTCCTCTCCACTATGAGTTATCTCAACCATAAGATTTTTGTGAGGATCAGCAATAAATGGTTTTAACAACCTTCCTAGAATAATGTCTGACTTAAAAAACAGCAATATGAGTATTTCCAAAGATACAATGCAGCCTTCTTGATAATTCTGAATTCCAGAGTGAAATAGTGTATTGTTTTAGCATTATCCACTTCTCAAATTGGCAATTCTTAGATTATGTATTACAACATGTTATTTACATACAAGTCATATCCACAAGAAATGGAGTCTTTACCTTTACACTCCAGTAGAGACCAACATATCTTACACAGTCAGTAATCATTAGTTTTTCAGCTTATTTAATTTCTGGACCTCTTGCTTTTGACATTGGTATGTATGTGTTCAGATTCTACTGATTACATATACATTTCATATTTTTATAGTCTATATTGAACATACTATACAAGAAGAATTATAAAGATTCAATAATCGTATAAACCCATTTTCAAAAAAATTATCACCTTCAAAATTGTAACACTACAGTGACCCTTGAGATACCTAAAATATCTTGCAGGAAAGGAGAACTACTTACTCAATTTCAACCAAAAAAATAAGTTTCAGACGTTATTTGAGAATTAAAAAAACAAGTTAATTGCAGATGCACAGGTTCTCAAAGCAGGTATTGGCTACTGATAATGTGTTCTCATGAAAGGACAATTTACATTATTCTAAAGTTATACATAATAGGTTCTTTTGAATTTGTTTTCTGTTTTTGTTATGCTTTCAATCTCTTAAAATGTTAGTTTACTTAGAGGTCCCACATTCAGACAGCTAAGAAATCAGATCTTGAAGCACTATACTATCATCATTTTAAAAATATTTGCTAATAATCACATAACTCAGAAAGGCCAAAGTCTCTTTTAGTTATTGTTATCAATTAATTTATACAAACTCTTCATGCTTTCTCTTGGTGGCGGGATGTTTTTTTCCTGCTATTATTTGCTTCTAATGTTATTCTGTAGGAAATCCTTGGAGATAAATACAACTAATAAGACACATCTGGAACTCTCAGAATCAGTTTCTGTACTAAGGCTTCCTTGCTCAGATCAGTTCTACTGTAAACATTCATACCTTTTGGTCAACAGAAATTCAGTTATGCATAATCTCATCCTTCCAATCTGTGAATTAGAACTTCATTTTAACACTACTAACTTTTTCAAAGTCTATGGTCTAGGATAGTCTATGGCTAAGCAATCTGCTTCAGAGTAAGCAACTTACCAGATCAAGAAGAGCAAGTTCTGACCTAGTAATTAAGCTCTTGCTCCCATACTATTTTGCCTTTCTACAAGGTATTACAGATATCAAGTTTAGAGAATATATCACTTTTTAAGACATGGATGAAAAACATAGTCATGTGTTCAATTAAAATTACGGTTTTAAGAAACAATGACTGTTACCTGCTTCATGAACTGTAGCACACAATATGAAGACAGCGTATTTTTATTTATTCTGAGCATACACTATTTACTCACATGAATAAGAGAGACAGCTTTGCAAATGTGTTAAGTATAGAGTCTGAAAATCCACAAAATTTACAGCAACGCCAGTTTTTTTGTCAGGTTTACATACACCACAATGAGAGTGGAGTAACCAACTTGACTGTCATGAAAGTGATTTGCAAACAACTTGCAATACCTTGATTTTGTTTCGTATTTTTCTTTCAGCCTACTGCCTACACCCTTCAATGTAAACAACCCCTCATCCCATTCTCATCTAATAAATAGTCTTTCCCTTGCACTTGTTTTTTTTTTGGCGCCTTTCCAGGTTCCCTTAACGGTTATCTGTAGGGTTTCGTAACAATAAAACGAAACAAACTGATAGAACTGCCTATATTTCAAGTTCTCTTCACTGAATAGAAAAAAAAAGGTATTCATGCTCCACAGTTGGTCTCTGAGTCTTAGCAAAGGATAAAGTCTACAATGGCAGCGCCAAACACTTTAATAGACCTGGGGGGGGGGGGGGGGGGAGGAATCTGCACGGTGGCCTCCCCATCCTGCTCGCCTCTCCAGATGCCCAAGGGCGCCAGGAGACAGCAGGGCGACCTTCCTGCTGAACCCCAGGACTTTAGGACTTGAGGCTTGTCCTCTCAGTCGCTTCAAGGCCAAGATGCGGTATGAGAGTTATAAGGGCAAGGGACTGAGAAAAGTTCCACCTAAACCGAAATTTCCAACTTTCTGGGAAGAGAAGAGAAAACCAAGGCGACAGTGGAGAGGAAGCAGGTGGGGTCCAGATCAAACAGGATTAAAAGCAATGAAAGTAACTAACCTAAACAAGAATCTGGGGGTGAGAGTGACAGGGCGGACCTTAGGTGGCCAAGGGCCCAGGTTCAACGCTCAGAGCCTCCCGCTGCTGGCCGAGGGACGCGGGGTCAAAGGGCTTCAGCAGGAAAGCCGCGAGCAGATTGGCTGCGGGGTGTGCGCGCGCAGGCGCCCACAGTGGACCCCGCGCCCGCCGCAGCCGCGTCACTGGGTCCGGAACTCTTGCAGCTACTCACCAAGGTCTAGGTTCGCCCACCAGTGGGGACTTAGCCGGAAAAGCGGTAGTCCAGGAGACTGAGAAAGCTGACAGCTTACTCGCCCCAGCGCAGCCAGTACCTCTGCCCAAAAGGCTGGCGCAGGGCGTTCCGGTAGCCCTGCGGGCTGGGCCGGCGGGGCGGGGCGGGGCGCACAAGGGTGGGCGGGGTTCAGTTCTCCCAGCGCGAGTCTGGAGTCCGTCGGTGGGAGGGGCCTAGATAAAAAGAGGCTCCGGTGTTTTAAAGGGCGACCCCTGCAAGTAAAGGAAAGGGTTGAAGTTGAGTGAGGCTGAGATCCCAGCTAGTTTCAGAAAGCAGAGATGGCAGTTAGAAGTTGTCTTCTATGGCTCAGCTCGGAGAGCTGCTTTGACTTTTTGTTGTTGTCGTTTTAGTTTGGATTTTTGTTTTCCAATATGAGGCATTCAGAGGTTGCTTTTAACTCGAGTATACTGCTTGTTTTCAAAGTTTTAACTTGAGAAACGGTTTTACCTTTTTTTTTAAAAAAATTGCTCTTTACTTGAAAGCCAAAGTAGACAGATAAAAATGACATTTTTTAATTTGCAAATCAATTATCTAAAATCACATTTGTAGTGAAATCAATTGAAACAGTTGAAAATAAGGCAATATAAAGAACAGAAATTTTTGAAATAAATGTTACAGCAGAGGGTTTCCATCTTGCATCAGCCTCAAAAGCCAAGAGAATTCAATGTTTTGTTTTGGTTACATAGTAACGGGGTAATTTTAACTCACAGATTGTAACTATGATATGAAAACTTTTCTAAGGGCTCTCCTTAAAACTCACTGGCTTTTTAAAAAACAACTATAATTGTGAAGCATACATAAATGAGTGTATCATATAATTGCACATTTTAAAGAAGAATTTTTTTTTTTTTTAACATAACCCACTACAGAGCTTAAGAAATTAAAAAATACCTGTAGTTTTGAAGCCTTCTAAGTAGTCTTCTCAGAAAACATACTTAGGCTTCACATCACCATTATGCTGAATTTTGTACTTGTTATTCCATTTCTTTAATAAAGTAGTTATATACATGTAATTCCATAAAAAATAATTTTCCTGGTTTTGCATTTTATGTTACTGAAACACTCCATCCTTCCCACTTGTAACCTTTTTTGTCTCACTGCACATTCAGATTTTGAAATTCATCAATATACAAATATGTTTCACATCAGCTACTTTGGTGCATCCTTATCCATAGCATCTGCTATTGTCAACCTTAATTTTTCACCTGAAAATAGCATCTAATTGCATTTCTTTTAATTTGCATTTTCTCCCTTCCTATTGAAGATATTGATCTTTTTGTATTCTACAGGTAATAAATTTTCTGGGAAGATACAAAAACAGATCTACACAGACACTGCCAGCTGATAACTTGATAAAAGTACCAAAAACACACTAGAGAAAAGATAGCATTTTTAACAAATGGTGTTAGAAAACTGGAGATACACACACACACACACACACACACACACACACACACACATACATATATGAATGAAACTAGACCCCTCTCTCTCACCCTGAACAAAATGAAACTCAGAGTGGATTAAGGACCTAGGGATTAGACCAGAATTCCTGCAAGTACTAAAAGAAAACATAGGGTCAGCACTCTAACTTATTGGCATAGGCACTGACTTTCTTAATAAGATTCTTTAAGCTCAAGGAATATAACCCAAGAATCAATAAGTGGGATGGAATTAATTAAAAAGCTTCTGCAGAGCAAAGGAAGTGAAAGCATGAAGTAAGAGCCTATGAAATGGGAGAAAATCTTATCCAGCTACCCTTTCAACAAGGGATATTGCCTATAATAAACTAAAAGAAAAATCCAATCAATAAATGAGAAAGTGATCTAAGCAGACATTTTTCAAAAAAGAAATACAAATTTCCAACAAATACGTGAAACATTTGTTCAACATCCTTAGCAGATCAGAAATGCAGATCAAAATTGCAGAGAGATTTCATTCATATCCAGTTACAATCAAGTAGAGGAAAGGGATCAAAAGGGAAGGAGGAGGAGGGGGTATGGGGAAAAACTGGGAAGAAAATCAACAAAATTATGCTGTGTCCATGTATACAAATACATCATAATGAATTCCACCTTCATATATAATCGCAAAACAATAATTAAAAATAATACTAATAGAAGGGAGATCAGTAGAGTAGCCAATATTAGAGGAGAAAAGAAGAGAGGGAAATCAGAGATAGTGGGGAATGTGATTGAGCAGATTGTCTGCTTGTATAAATGTGGTATAATGAATCCCACTGTTATGTATAATTTTAATGCACTAATGAAAATATGTTAAACAATTTTACTTTAGCTAGGCCTCAATCTTCTCTTTCATATAAATTTTATTATGGCCAGCCAGGATGTATTAAAAGTCTGTGTTTGTGTCTGTATGTGTGTGTGTGTGCATGTGGACATGCACATGTACACATGCACAACACTAATGCATGCTTGCATGGTAGGGGGCATTGAACCTAGGGCAGGTCTACCATTGAGGCACAAGGTCTCATTAAGATATAGAGGCTGGCCTCAAACTTGAGATCCTCCTGCTTTAGCTCCATGTATGCTTGAATTACAGGCAAATTGAAAATCACTTTCCTGTAACTGCAGCAGGACACCTATTTGGGTTTCTATTTGACTTTTTTGATTAATTCAAAATTTGAATTTATAAATTAATTTAGAAAAATATCTTCTTATTCATGAATATTTATATTTGTTGATTTATATTCAGGTCTTTTATGTTCTATAACTCTTTGTAATCCCTTTTATTAAAATTTGAATATTTATCATTATATAGTGACCTTTTTATTGCTAAAATTGAAGTGCGTTCTTTAAATTGCATTTTCTAGAGAGCATAGGTAGAGTACGTTCCTAGCATGTGCAGGGCCCTGGATTCAATCCCCAGAACCAGAAAAAAATTACATTTTCTAATTGGCTATGATATTCTATTAAAAGAGCACCAAGTTTTACACATTGGTCTCATATCAAAAAGCTGTGATGAATTTTTTTGCTTTATTTTTATTACATATCTAGAGTCTATATAGACATTTCTATCATTTGTAAATGAGAATTTTTCCTACTTCTTCACGTTTAAAATCACTTATTCATTTTCTCCTGTTCATTAACATTACCTCAGTATAGTGTTTAATGGAAATATTGATAGTATTGTTATTTTTACTTGATTTCATTACTGTTTAAATTTTGTCATGAAATACAATGATATCTGTGGGTTTTGCTAGCTACCTTATCAAGATTATTAATTATTTTATTTCTGGTTTCTAAGTGTTTTATTTACTTAATTTTTTTAACCACAGTGACTGTTTACTTGATGAAATGTTTTCTCTGTTATATTGAGAAAATATATTTTTTTCCTATTTTAATACCGTTTGGGGACTCAGTGAATATTCTGATGTTTAATGAGAGGAAGGTTATTTCACTTTATAAATATTTATAAATATAAATATTCATGCCCACTCACTTAAAAACTGTGTCCATTATTACTATCAGTGTAAATAGACTAAGTATATTCTCATTGCATCATCTTCTCAGAAAGTCAGATATGTTGCACAGTATTGTTTCTAAACTAAATTGGGATTGCAGCTAATGTCCTATCCTCTAAATTTGACTGTTCTGCTCATACCCTGTTGTTGTCCAGGAATGTTGACATGGCATTGACAGAGACAATGTTTACAATATTGGTTTTCAATCACATCGTTTTTTAATATTTATTTTTTAGTTGTAGTTGGACACAATACCTTTATTTCACTTATTTATTTTTATGTGGTGTGGAGGATCAAATCCAGAGTCCCACACTTTTGAGGCTAGCGTTCTACCACTGAGCCCAACCCCAGCCCCTATTCCACATAGTTTTTAGCATAGATTATATGTGTGTGCGTGTGTATTTTTTCTCCTTCAACATCCCTGGTAGATAACAAAGCAATGTTGTGTTGTTACTTTCACATATGTAATATTACATGATCAATCTTGCCATTTTTCAAATATGTGGTAGCCATATTAATGACAAGTTTTCTTTTATAGTCTAGTTTTCTGTTATAATCTAGTTTTCTATTTCTCATTTTTTAAATTGGTTAAATAGTTTCTAGAGTAAACACAGTTTAAGGATTTGGAAGGTATGTAAGTACTGATTAGAAAAGTCTTCAAGATGAGTGAATACTTTGTAAGCTAATGCTTAAAAGAGAAGTCCATTTGCATACATTTAAAATATCTATGTCTACATATGTATACATCTTATACATAAAATATCTGAAAGGATACATGCACTGTGACTTATAATCTGTGGAAAATGGGATTAAGAAGGGATTTCTTTTTACTGTAATTCTGTAGGATTTTTTTCTGTTAGCACATATTTATGTGTTTAATTAAAAATATAGCACTGGAGGAATATGTCATTCATTTAATAAAGGAGTTCTTAGAAGTAAATAGAGCTGTGTATGAATTGATTTTTATTAAATAAATAGATATCTTAAATATGTTGCATCAAAGGTGATCAGTCACTGAATGCAAAAGATAATAATTTGAAATGGGAAGATTCTACAGGGAAAGCTACAAATTTTTCTCATCAAATTCTAACAACAAACTAGCAACCTTTGCTGTCTCCTAAGTACCATTTATTATTATAATAGCTCCCACTACACAGGCTTCTTGAGATATGTTTTCATCTTGCTACTAGAAAGCAGCAGCCTTGTATTTTTCTTTTGCCCTTAGAAATGTGTTTCCTTATTTCTCAAACATAGGCAAATGTTTATACTTTTAGTATTTTTTTCTACCCTCTATTTCAGTGGGCCTTACTATTTAAGTTAATTATTTATTCATATCATCTACATTTGCATTAATCAGAGTCCTTTTGTTAAATAATAGAAACCGACTCTGGCAAACCTATGCACAAACAGAAAGCACCAAAGGTTACAGAGTTGGATGCAGCATGAGGGTGAAGTATAGTACATTAGGTCATAGCAATAATGAGGAACCAAAAGGGGCTGGAAAATTGGGAGCACAACCTCACACAACAGTATGGA